TAAAAGATCCTCATATCTTTGCCTTCTCACATATATCACTAGTTGCACGCTCATCACGTCCCTCATTTTCAATCTTTCTAGTGAGATCAACTGCATTAGAGTAGGACAAAGTCTTCATCTGTGGGGCTACTACAGTGTATAGACGACCAACCAACCCATTAACAAATCTTTGAACTCGAGCTTCTTAGGTATGCACTACGTAAGGAGCATATCTAGCCAGATTACAAAACTTGGTATTATATGTTGACACATCCATATCTGGAGTCTGAACCAATATCTCAAAGTCTCTAGCATATTTTTGCCTCAGGCTTTCTGGAAGAAAATGATCCATGAACAACTTACTCAACTCGTCCCATGTCAGTGGTGCTGCTCCTGCTGGCCTTCCTAGAAATACAGTTTCATACTATGTATTAGCCATATCCTCTAGTTTGTATGCTGCGAGCTCTATGGCTCTCTCACTAGAACATTCTAGAACACGTAATACTTTGAGTGTCCCATCCAAGAAACTTTAAGGATCTGCTGAATTATCATAACCTGTGAATTTTAGGGATTTCAATTTTAGGAACTCTTGCAGGGATACCTCCTTATTCCCGAAAGTCTGAGTCTGTGTAGGTGCTTGTATTTGTAAAGTAGCCTGAGGAGATGAACTTTCATCCTGAGTAGGCACTAATACCTCTAACACATTCAATAACCTTGCCACTATGTTAACAGGTACGGTAACAATAGGTTCAACAGTTGGCACTAATGGTGGAGAGTCCCGAACTCCTTGTTCTTGCACATGATCTGGTATAATAGCTTGGGGTTGACCTATCTTCACAACTTCAGGTTGAGGACCGGCATGTCTTATAGTCTGATGAGCCCCAATTTGACCGCCACCTCGGGTAGTACCACGTCTAGCACCACATCCACCAGATGAGGGAGTGCGTGTCCTAGCTATCTGCGAAAGAAATACTCTAAAATCAATCTCAAGTTATATCAAACGCACGATCAAATAATGAAATAAGAAAAATATTCCTAGATGTTCAGTAGCCTCAAGATCATAAGTATGGGTGCCTACATACTTATGGACCGGATTCTACTAAGCATTTCTCCATGACTCGAGACTTAAAGCCTAAGCTCTGATACCAACTTTATCATGACCCAATTTAGGATCGTGACCAGTGCTTAGGAGCAAGTTCTCCCAAGTAAGCCTTATCAGTATTTTACAGAAAAACGGATAGAGTTTCCCCTATTTTTGAAGTATCCAAAATATTCCTGTCTCATAAGCAAATAACAACCAACCAATATTCACCTAAATCAGTCACAATCTTCATCAACTAATTACAAACGGGATTTCACCAATATTACCAATATCTTCAACATAATAAAACCAAAGCCAACTCTAAAAAATATGGAAAGAAAGTGTTATACTAGTAACTAGTCCATTTTAACAAATGAATACTCACGACACTAATAAGATAATGATGGAGCACTCTAAGAGTTCAAAAGAAAAGACTATAGCGAATAAATAAAATCTCCGCCCACGTAAACGGGTGCGGGACTCACCAAGAACTATCAACTTGTGCGCTCTAATCAACAAAATCTTCACCTGAGTCAACTACTTTCTCTGTAAAAAAAATAGCGGGGAACTAACTCAACGAGTAATAACACTTAACTATAACCGTTTTTCATTGGGGACAAGTTAGAAAAAAAATACTTGTATAATAATAAGCAGAACTATCATAAAAATAAAATGCCTTTTTAAAAATAGTAATAATAATTAGTCTCATCATCTGTTTCCTGTAACAAAATCAATTTAACAATTCTGTAATAAACTCGGTAAATACTATGTCATAGCAAATCTTTATATTTAGGAGGTTTTCAGAAAAGGATCATGTAATATGTATCACTATGTAGACCCCTTCGTAAAAGGAGTCTATAACTGCAGGTCCCTACTAGAGGGAAAACTGTAAATGTATGATAGTTCTACCTTGCCACTAGCTAGGACTATAACTATAATCGATAATATGTAAATATAAGGTGCACCAGGTCTAACGAACCCACCGTTAGCTACGAGATCCTTCAAAGTCTCCTCCCATTTATACTTGTCTTTATAATCCGTTAATACTCATATGAAAATACTTTTAAAACAGTACAACACATTTTACTTCATATCAAATCATGTAATTTTATTCGGTAACAGTAATCATATCTCAAGTAACGATAAAACTTATCTAGTAACAATGAGAGTATTCATAACAATTGTAATCATCTCAAATAATTATTTCAGTATCATATAGAGTAAAAGACTTGTCCCACATGCAAATTCAAAATAACCGATAACATGTTCATACTAAAATCATGTGTAAATTATGTAAGTTATGAAAACACAAATTGGGATAAGGTTACTACTCACAGTACTCGTATCAAATTACCAAATATTTCACCTCGAGAAATCCATACAACTTACTCCAATCAATCTATAATATCATCATATCAATCTCGTGTCAATTTTCTAGTTCAAACCAATTCATAACTAATTTAAATAATATATTAATCCTCAGAGGTTCATGTTTGACCATCAATTTGCCGAATTATATTTACCCATACTATGAGTAATTCAACTAGTCCATAATCTATAACTTTTTAGCCTGTTCATATAATATACCCGTTTAATTCATGAAAAGAATTATGGATTTCTCTCAGTTCCCTAACCTCCTCTTTTAACTCATAATCAAATCCCACCATTAAATTTACTTAGTCTCGCAAGGAATCACGTATATAAACTACTAATGTTTCAAAAGAAGAAAAATATATGTAATTACCTGGGCTTATAGTATAGACTAAAGAATATATGTTAATTGTTTGAATGGAAACGGTATTTGGCACGTCGCAACACTAGAAACCTTTTCTCGCTTTTCGTAGGGGATTTTCTCTTTTTTTTTTTTTTTTTTTTTTTCCCCCTTTA